TCACCATTCCTGGAGATATTTAAAAGATGTATAGCTGTGGTACTTAAGGACATGGTTTAGTGGTGGCCTTGGCAGTGCTGGGTAGGGCTCAATCATTCAGAGGTCTTTTCCAGCCTAAATGACTGTATGATTCTATAAGCATATGTAAAGCCAGGAGTTTATTCTTGCCATAACTGAAATCTTACAAGTCCAATTCAAGAATTGTTATTAGTCTAATTGTTATAGAAAACACAAAAGTACAGTTAGTGTTTCTATATAGAAAATGTAATAATTATACAGTAGTAACATTAATACTGAGATCCACTTGAGGTGACTTTTCTATTTGCTTTTACTCCTAGCTCTCTCTTCATTGGTCTGCAGCTTCATGTTACACACAAATTTACAACTATGGGGTGTCTTTTAAGTACATGAGATACTGTCTCTGAATTTTCTTTGTTATCCCTAAACCCAGTTTTGCCCAGCTGCAGGTCTCCATTCCTTGAGCTGGCCACCAGTTAGGTCTGGCATGGTGCTGTGCAGGTCAGGATATCCCGGGGGTCCGGGGGCTCCCCCAGGGGAGATCCAGGCTTCACAGCCATGGCCCATCTCACCACCCAGGCCAGGGAGCAGGGCACCTCCTCAGGGATGGGAACAGACCTTCTCCTGTCACCCCATCCCTGTTCTCCTCTGTGCCATGCCCCAATTTACCATGTATCAGGGCATCTGCTGTTGTACCCAACCTGTATTTCTCCATAGAGTCACAAATACCTCCTCCCGTCTGGGATGGCTCCTAGGTACCACTGTCTGTATAAAAGAGTGGCTGTGCCATGCAGAGGTAAACAGAAGTAAAACCACCTGGGCACAGACACTGATTGATTAGTGAAGGTGCCTCTGCAGCTGATGCAGGTGGTAACCATCCCTGCAGCCCCAGCCCAGAGCACGGACCAGTGCTGCCAGACACATGGCTCAGTGGCAGCACAGGTTTGGTTTTTTGTTTGATCTCTTCTTGACCAGCAAGGAACAGGCCCCTGTGAGCTCCATGCTTTCAGTCTATTTTTAAAAGATGTTATTGTGCTGACATCGCTCCCTTCCCTCCTCCTCTAATTCAAAGACCTTGGTTGGAATGAAGCGTAATTAGTTTCTGAAATGAGAGGGGAAGTGTGTTTAATGAAAACAGACAGCTTTTGTTTGTTTGGCCTGGTACTCCTCTTGCCTAATTGCTGGCAGAACAGCAACTAGATCACAGCCGCCAGAGAAACAAAACCATTTCTGTTGAGCGCCATCGGTTTCTATTAGTTCAGCAAGGCATTTACTCGCCGTTTGCTGATCAGTCACAAGCCATTCAGTTTCCCTCTGCTTCTGCCCTCTTATTCCTGCCTTCTTACTCAGTGGCTCAGCCCAGAGCAGAAAAACAGGACTGACATTTTCTAACTTGGACAGTCAGTGCAGCCAAACTGCTGTGCTCTTTTATCAAGGCCTGATTTTTTGTGTATGCTTTTCTCAAATACTGTCTCACAGGGTTTTATAATGAAGCTCAGTTAGGGAGATAGCTTTTGGATGTTTAACTTGCCTCAGAAGCCACTCTCCAACAATTCTTTTGTCACTTTGGAAAGGTGCAGATTATCCCCATCCCTGGTGATACCAGGAAACCTGTAGAATTTCCACAGTCACCAGGCACAGCTCACAGGCACTTACTCAGGGAGGGATGTTTAGTGTCTTACCAAGGAAGGAACAGCCTGGGATCAGGCATCTGCAATAAGAAACTGGAGACAATCAAACTTATTTAAGAAAGACTGTGACGTGGTGCTGCAGAGGTAAGGTGTTAGCCAAGACAGCTCCTTTTCCATACCATCCTTCCAACTGGCAACAGAAAATTACTCACGTGGTTTAGAGAACCTGTTATCTTTATCACTACTCACTGGGCTCTATAAACCAAAAATATAAGGAGAATCAGCACAAGAAAAGTATATAAACTCCTGTGAATTATAGTTCTGGAAGCTTTCACTGCTGTTCAAAGATTTCCTAAATATTCCAGCACAAATTCTCATCTCAGCTGCTCTGCCGTAAATCCAGAATAATTCCATCACCTAGGGAAATTAAAAATATCTGTTAATCAGAAAGCCATCTCACCAACTTGAGATTGCCAAATCTGGGCAAGCAGGACAGGCACCTGCCTGCTCAACAGTGCATCAGTGAGGGTTCCTTGCCTTCTCTCCCAGCCCATAGATGAATACAACTGAGGAAGAAAGAATTGGTGATAAGAGGGGACCTGAAATCTGGATGTCCCTACTTTGCCAGTGATTTCACTGGAATGATTTTTTGGAGTTGACATATAGGTGCATTTGAAAGCAGTTTCATCTACATGAAGTACCAGCACTTTCATAGAAGAAACTAGCTGATTTGTTTTCAGGAGAATCTTGGGGAGAAAAATTGCATTTTTTGCTTGGGTAAAGAGCAGAGGACCTGTTATTTGGACCTCAGCTTGTTGGCTGCCTTCTTGGAATGAGACAGGCACCTCAGTGCTCTGCCTGGTCCCCTGGATGTACCTATTCTTACTCAAAGACTATGGATTCAGAGTCTGAAGTTTTGAGGTACAAATGTCTCT